GGTTGGTCTGTTTTTTCCCTTTGTGTAAAGACAGATGCAAAAAATGAGTTAAATAGTTCTGCTTTCTCCCTGTTGTTTGTCACCTTCTTGCCACTTCCACCCACTAATGGACCAATCATTTCCTTCACTTTTTTCTTGTTTTTTACATGTTGAAAGAAGCTTTTTTTGTTATTTTTGACTTTGGTCGCAAGCCTTAGTTCATTTTGAGCCTTGGCTTTCTTCACTTCATCTTTGCAGGCTCGGGCTATTTGCTGATATTCTGACTTAGTTATGTTCCCCTCTTTCCACTTTCTATACTTGTCCTTTTTATCTTTCAATTTGTCAGAGAGTTCTTTATGCAGCCATGCTGGTTTCTTTTGAGAGCTGTTATTTTTCCTCTTTGTTGGTATTGTGCTAGACTGGGCTTTTATTATCTCATTTTTCAAAATTTCCCAAGCTTCTTGAGTTGTTTTCCCCTTGAGGATTCTCATCCATGGAATCCTTCCCAAGCCCTCTCTAAGTTTATTGAAATTAGCTCTCTTGAAGTCCAAGACTCTAGTTTGACTGTGTTCTATTGCTTGTGCTTCTATAATGTTGAATTCTAATATTGCATGATCACTTCCTCCCAGGGTTCCTATGGCTTCAACACCGCTATCATTTCATCTCTGTTAGTGAGAATTAGATCCAAAATGGCTAATCCCCTAGTTCCCTTCTCTACTTTTTGGGAGACAAAGTTGTCTGCTAGGTTTGCCAGGAACTGTTTGATCTTCCACTTGGTGCGGAGTTTGTCTCCCAGTTGATGTCAGGGTAGTTAAAGTCCCCCATTACTATTGTGATGTGCTTCCTACATACCTTAGTTAGCTGACTAGCAAAAAGTTCATCTATTTCCTCTGTTTGGTTGGGTGGTCTGTAGTATACACCTATGGCAATGTCATTTCCCCTCCCTTTTATATTGACCCAAATGCATTCAAGACAGTTTTTATCATTGTTGTGCTCTATTTCTGTGGAGATGTAGTTATTTCTTATATAGAGAGCAACTCCACCTCCTCTTTTATTTGGTCTGTTTCTTTTAAATAATTTAAATCCCTCTAGCTGTGTGTTCCATGTGTGGGTTTCATCCCACCATGTTTCCGTAATGGCAACAATATCGTATCTGCCCTCATTAACCTGAATTTCTAGTTCACCCTGTTTGCTGTTCATACTCTGTGCATTGGTGTATAAACATTTGAGTCCTTTGTGGGTGGCCCTGTGTTTCCTTTCTACATAACCTGTGTGGTGCCTGAGTTCCCCTATTGTCTTACCACCTATTTGGTTAGTGCACTTTATGTGGCACTCGCTATTAGAGGCTTCATTTTGCTTGATAGCAAGGTTGATATTCTTGTCCACACACACATCTATGCTACATGCACTGATAGCCCTATAGTTTTTAAATTGCCGGGGACAGGGTTGTTCCGTGTCAATTAACTCCCTGTCCCCGCTGTTTAGTTTAAATTTCCCTCCAGAAAATCTGTGAATTTATAGCCGAGTAACTCAGTCCCTTTTTTTGATGGATGCAAACCATCTCTTTTGTACATCTTTTGATTGGACCAGCTACTGACATCGTGACTAATATATCCAAAGCCTTCCCCTTTACACCACTCCTTTAGCCACATATTGAATTGTGCTATGCGCTGGCCTTTTCCGTTTTGCTCCTTATACACTGGTAAGACCTCTGAGAAAGTAAGCTAATTCACATTTTGCTCTTAAGAATCAAAATTTGGAATATTTGTATACATAATGTGAACATTCTAGTAGAACAGGGTCCCCAACCCCTGAACTGCGGTCCACTACCAGGCCGCAGCCCGTTTGGAACCAGGCTGCACAAGTGGTGGGCAAGTGCATGCGAGCACACAGCTCTATTTAAACAAGCAACGGGCACCCGCACTTGCCACTTGTGCAAATGGAGTTGCGTGAGTTTGTGCGCATGCCTGCCACTCACACAGAACCATTCCCTTTCCCCACCCTGCCAGGCTGCAATAGAGAGAAGTTCTTTGACGATGGGCTCCAGCACGAGTCTAAAAGCTCAGAAGACTAAACCTGTGGTCCCCGTGACCGATTCATATTGGTTCCTGTATTATGTGAAGAAATTAATTTCCATATATTTGCAAACCTTGCATAATTTATCATCCTAGTTGCATGATTATTGGATGTATCTGCTTCACTAGTTGAAATGTCAGCACATATAGGAGCATGAAAATTGAAGGGTATGTATTATCAGGACTTGCATTTTTACTTTATATAAGCATATTCCAAAGCAAACCTCCATGATTTCAGTTGAATTTATTCCAGTCAATGTACATAATATCACACACTGATCTTTTTTTTTTAAATTTCATTTCTAACAAAACAAAGTGCACAACAGGGCAAAGACTGCTGCAATACACATTGTCTTTGTTGTGTCTTTTTTCTTCTTCAGTACTGAAAACCAACTTTGTCACCGACCTCAAGACTGGGAAACTTAACTACTGCTTTTCTAATGCAGAGAATTAGAGGCAATATTTGAGTGACAAATGCTTGCATGCAATTTTTTTTTTTTTTTTTTGCTTGACTAGCCTTTTTCCTTTGTTCCTCACCTGAAAGATCAAATATATTTAAAGCTTTAGCTGAAGGGTAGAATTGCAAGAAGAAAATCTGAAAAAAGGTGATGCTTGTTTATTTTATCTAAATTTGAAAAAGAGCACAGAGCTATTGCAGCTGAAAGCCTGTTCTTTTTTAATGATGGCATCATACCAGCAATTACTTATCTTCAGAATTGGTACACTATAAAGAAATGCGTGCATATATACTGGAAAAATTATCTCCTCTTTTTAAAATTTTTCTGGCTGGGAATAAACTATGTCATTTATATGTTTAATCTTAACAGATATGAACAATCTGAGGTTTCCAGGATATGCAGTTTTGGGAAATCATTATAAAAGAGAGGATTATAATTTTTATATTTACATTATATAAGATAGATATTATCAAAATTTAATGGTAAGAAAACCACACAAACATTTTAGCTAGTGAAGAAACATGAAATTCTATTACAATGATGACATTTCCTCAGGAATGTAAGACATTGCTTAAGATTCATCACAGGATATTTATGATTCAATCTCCAATGTGGCTAATAAGACTCTTGTATTTAGAAATTCCAGGGAATTGTTAAAAGATTACGTGCCATTTTTCATTCAAGTACAGATATTTCCAAAGGCCTAGTGTGCAATATATACACATACTCATAAGATGTGTGCACACAAATATACACATGGTATACAAAAGGCATAGAAGTTAATTCATCCAGCAAATTAAGCTGCACATCATTATATTTGTTAATATATTTGTATATTGAAGAAGAAATACAAAGAAATACAAGCAGATTTAGCCTTACCATTTGGCAGAGTGAGGCACCTATCTCAAATAACAAATATTGATTGTCATTAGTTGTAATAATCGTCTCTGAAAATATCTTCTGCACTTAAACATCCCTTCTCTATAAATGAAATATGAAATAGGAAGGGTTTTGGGGCACTGTATTAATTGCACCAAATCTATTGCACCTAAGGATCTGTCCATGGTACTGCAAGTCTTTTTTTCTGGTATTTTTTTTTCTTTTGCCTGAATTCTTGACATGCATTGTTTGTCTTTCTCTTTGGGAAGACACTGCAGGTTTAGAAGTTTTTGCTTTTATTTATGATTAAAAATAAAGTATAAACCAAGAAAAACAAACCTACATTGAGCCAAAACACTAAATGCACTAAAAATACAACACTTTTTGTACAATCAACAGAATTACCACATTACTAAATTTTGACTAGCAATAGAAATTGAGAAAAAAAGAGAGCTTGATATCTAAGATAACCTGCCAGCTGAGAGAAGAAAGAGCATTCTCCCCCTCATCAAAATATATTCAAAAGACACTGGGCAAGTATGCAGGAAGCTGATTTTGTTTCTTGCAATGGGCAGTGTAAATTTACTATTGCTTGAGAGTATTGTTAAATCTTCCAACAGCAAGGGCAGAAAAAAAGAGCTCTCCTGCCCATAGGGCAAAGAATATCAACTAAATATTTGTTGTGAGAGATGTGTCTTCCAAATAGGACTGACTTGTTCAAAATGGAGGATTGTTCTTAAGTCATACTGAGTATCATTGTCAAGGGCTTGTTGCTTTAGTTTTGACCAAGCTGCCTCAAGATCAAGTGAAATCTACTGAACTGTAAGACATAACATTTGAAATCTAAATCTATGCCTGTCTTTCATGAGGACATAACGTTTTTCTCTAAAATCAAGGTGGTTAGGTAGCTTTGGTATTTAATTTTAATGAAAACTAACTTGAGCCAAAATTTCAGGCTAATATTTTTTCAGTAGTGCTGTATATTCTTTAAAACTTCAATTAGGAAGTAAAACTAGAGTAAATTTTATGAATTCCTTTATTCCATGTCCAACTTTTTCCTTAGGAGATGTATTCTTGAAATCTCAAGTATGACAAATGCAGAATACTTTGAAATGTTTCTCCCAAAAGAACAAAGTAGGACAAAACAAAATTGTTTACTAGGAACAAATATGATGCCTTTCACAAATGAAAAGTTGAGTTTGTTAGTAGGACTATTTGATTTTATTAGCAAGTCTGGCTAAATAAAGCAGAAGAGTATGAATTAACTCACAATGGTTAATCTTATGTACCTTAATTTTATAGGTAAAGGATGCACAAATTTATATTAATTGTGGCAAATCCAAATTTGAATACATGCTTAATATATTCCAGACAGTAACATGCTTGCCTTTCAGAAATGTTGAGCATTTGGAATTTGTGTAAAAAAAACCCTTCTGCATATATTCCTGGTTTCCTTTTATTTGCTGTAACTTGTATAAGCTGAATTTCTTGTTGGGAATTGTCACATTATACTACAACAGTTTTTGATACATTTTTTAAAAAATAAAACAATTTCCCTCCTTAATTTCTAAAGAGTTTTATATAATCCTGACTTATCTTTGTATAACAGACTATGCAGCAGATGAGCGACCATCGTTATGATAAACTTACAGTTCCTGATGATGCAGCAGCAAACTGTGTTTATTTAAATATTCCTGGCAAAGGTCATGTTTTGTTGCATCGAGCCCCTGAGGAGTATCCAGAAAGTGCAAAGGTAATGGCAAAAAGACTAGACCTGTTCTTATAAAATGCTGATCAGTTGTAAGTCCAGACTGCTCGGGAGAGAAGCATTGAATCTGTAATTCTGGCTCCAAGGACTATCCTTCCCTCCCCCCCCCCCTAAAAAAAAACAACACACTGCTTCCACTGAAATAAGGAAAATAACAAAAAAAAAAAAATACTGGTGGAGTTTGTGGATGCATGGTATTAAACAGAATGTAATAAATACAATCCAGCACTGGCAGGTGGCGGCAGTGGCAAAAAAAAAAAGGTTAGATAGTAGAAGTGTTGTTACAATGCACTTAAAAATGGGGCAAGCTTTCACCATCTTGCCTTTTTTGCCCCTTCACCATTTTGGTCCCCCCAGAAATACTGCCAGGAAAGATGCTGGACTTCTCAGTTGAGCTGAAAGCCTGGGTTTGAGACCCGAGCTCCACCCAATGGGGTGAGCACCCATTATTTGTCCCAGCTCCTGCTCAACTAGCATTGTGAAAGCATGCAAATGCAAGTAGATTAATAGGTACCACTTTGGAGGGAAGGTTACAGCATTCCGTGCTCCTTTGGCATATAGCCATGCTGGCCACATGACCACAGAAATTGTCTTTGGATAACGCTGGCTCCTCGACCAAGAAACGGAGATAAGCACTGTGTTCTAGAATCAGACATGACTGACAGGGAAACCCTTTTATTCTTTGCTCACAACATGGTTTCTCATTCTTTGGCTTCCCATATTATTTTCTCATTTTGTTGTTTAGGTTTTGAGTTTCTTGGAATGAAAAAGGTTTTCCTAGACATTCAACAAATTATGCCATATAGAAATCTGTGTGTGCTATTCTTAGCATAAGAATGCTGTGCACCCCAGTGTTCTGTTGGTCTGGCGGTGATGCTGTTGCAAATCAGAAGGGTCATTCTCTGAGTTTTATGTATATTATTTCAAATAGATCAGAACATAATTTTAAGCTATACATGGCCATTTTTCTTATCATTGAGTGTTAATGGTAATATGCTTGGAAGTGACTTGGGCCCCAAGTGAGGCATTTTATCCTGTGTCATATTATGTCAGTTTCTAGGGAACATTTTTTGGATAGCTGAATAAGTTGTACAGACATATACATCATCTTATATACAATCCATTCAGATTTTGGATGATTCAAAAGTGACTGTAATTAAACTATATGCAAATTAAAAAAGGATGGGGATTGAGATCCAATTATGAGTTATCGAGAATTGCTACAACTTTGTTACTAGCCTATTAAAATGGACAATGGGAGACATTCCTTTGTTTTACGTATTCTGGCTAGAGATGAAGGGAGTCTTATTTGTGGATCTAGAGTCTTTATTATGGAAACCTGTTTGGAATAGAAAGAAAGCTAGAATAAGATATAAATATGGAATTTAAGATTACAGTTATGGGTTGCAAAGGCTTTATAGAGATGCAGATTGATTTGGATTTGGATTTTTAAAAGGTGTTATTAGGATAAGATTTTGAATTTAGTATTGAAATAGTAAGAATACACTCTTTGGAATAATGGATCTTCCTTCTTTTCTCTTTCTTCCGCTTAGTCTGTTTCTGTCTTTTTTTACTATTTTTTCTATTTGCTTATGTTTTTTATTATTAGGTATGATAATTAATTTGTGGAGGTATAATGAGAAAAAGATTGCAATAATGGAAGAGATGAAGTTAACAAATGAAGAATTACTGAATAAGAAACAGAATATAGTTAAGAAATGTAAGAATGTAATGATGGAAATAATATGTTTAAATAAGAGAACCTGTTAGGCTCGAAGCCAGAAGGCCCTTTCCAAATTCCAATTTAAATCAATGCCAATTCGAATTCCGATTGTAAAAAGAAAATAAAAGGAAAAACTACACTTTAGATAGCTAAAAAAGGATTAAACTCAATCAGATTTAAATATATGTTCAATTAACTTAGCCTAGTTAAGGAGCCAAAATTTCTGCACCCTGTTGAGCACGAGACTAAGTCAAAACTGGGAAGACATACCCAGAGGGAGGCGTGGCCAAAGTTCTGACCTAGTCTCTTCTGAGCAGGAAGGCTGAAATTACCCATCCGGTGGATTCTACACTGATCATGCTGGAGAACAGGATTTTGATTTACATAGGTAATGAGTTGCTGATAACTTTTATCAATGGAATTTTTATTTAGGAATGTATTAACGAATGAATTTTATTTAGAAATGTTTTAATTTGACTATAGTATGTTAATTGATAGAGATTCAACTGATTACCCCACCTCCACGTTGGTTTTTAAGCTTCTTGGTGCAAAAATGGAAAAACCAATAAAATTGTTTGTAAAAAAAAAAAAGTTGTACAGACTTAGATGAGAGGGGGGGAACTGGACTGCGTGAGTGGCAGGCCGGTGCACGTACACGTACATACAGCTTAACTTGCATGAGTTGAGTTGTGCACACATGCATGCACACTGGCCTACCGCTCGTGTGGCCCAGTTCCAAATAGGCCATGGACCGGTAGTGGATTGGGAACCCCTGCCTTACTGACGCTCCCCAACAAACATGATAAATGTAAATCTGTGACACCTCTCCTGAACTTGGGCTTTATAATTTGGGCTAGCTCACAGTTTACTTCAAAGGTGCATACCCACAGGTCTTTATTGCTTATTTAATCTTGATATTACTGAAAATGCAACATTATGCTTGACAATTTTTTTTGCCTAACATGTTGGGTCTGAAGCAATGCTGCAACTCACAGAGCACAGAGTTGGAGTGTGACCATGTAAAACACTCTGTTCCCCAACTCCACTAATATCTTAAGTAAGCAAGCATGGGATAAACTTTATGCAGGCTGTTATTAGACATTAAATCATGAGACTGGTTTGTCGCAAATTCCCCATGACTTTAGGCATAATTTTATTAGAAATCAAAGTCAGCATTACTCTTGCCATATGACATATCAATGACATATCATATGAACTAAAATATGACACAATAGCACATTTATCAGTCTTTTGCTCCCCCTTCTCCTAAAGTGTATTAATATGCTAACTTGAATGCCAAGTGTTCCAGTTTTGAGCCAGAGTATCCAGTTTAAAGCTGAACTGTTTTACTAAGGTAAAAAAAAAAAAAAATTCCTTTCAAGTTGATTTTGATTTCTACTGATTGCATGGATATGTTCACATAGTCGACTTAGCAACAGAATAGAAGTGGTTTCCCATGGCCTTATTCCAGGATATTTTTCTGACAGGCTTGGGGTTCCCTGTTGCCATTACCTTTAAAGATTGTTCAGACCTAGTCTTGCTAGTTTCCAAGCACAAAGGTCAGTCAGATGCCACTGTTTGCTGAGAGTTTTCTACTAAGATATAAACTATTCTGACTGAAAATTTCTAAACCAGTGATAAAGATTCAGTAAAAAAATATTCATAACTTTTCATTTTCTTTCTTAATAGGTATTTGAAAAACTGAAGGACCACATGTTGATCCCTATAGCGAACACCGAGCTAGAAAAAGTAGATGGAGCACTCACTTGTTGTTCGGTCCTTATTAATAAATCTTCACAATTATGAGTTTACAGATTTCCTTCCTTGTATATGGCAATAATGTACATGAAAGGCAAATGAATCTGTATTTCACTTGTATTGGTTTTCTTGACAATCTACTGTACCACTGTGCTACTGACCTTTGTTTACAATGGTGCCCCTTCACTCGTAATTAAGGTTTGTGTATATGCTTTTTCCTGACATATAAAGATTTAAAGCATGTTTGTCTGGATTTCCAAAAAAAAATGTTATGAAAATTAATGGTTTATGTAGTCGATGTAAAATGATCTCAGAAGCGGAAGTAGGGGCCACTTCTAGCATCACTTTTGACTGGGGCACAACAACAACCAGATGCATATCTACTATGCTGAACGTTACTATCACTTAGTTTAAGGACTTGAGTTTGAAAGCAAGTCATTGAAGACATATGGCAAAATGCCATACAAAATGTACTATAGGACTTCCTCACAATCCATTTTATGAATTTGTCATCATCAAATTCTTTCCACCCCAATGTAAAGAGTAAAACACTTGTTTTTATATTGCTAGTGATTTTGTCATAGGAACTTTATAATGCTCCCAGGAGAGTTTATCCACTCCTTTTCCACCACTCTGCTTAAGTTCCAGGACTGACATTGATAAGTCATCAAATATTTACCAACTGCAAAAGGCATAAAAGTAGAAAATTACAAGTGCTTACAGTACCACAGTAGTTAGTCTTCAGATATGGGCTATAAGAAAGATAAGGGCTCAGAGACATACATCTTCACACACTTATTTTTATAATCATCTCAAGTAATTTCTTTACCTTGCTTTGGGGAAGTTTATTGTAATCAGATTAGAACATGAGAGGAAACCTGCACTGGACAGAATAATGCTGGTATTTTATATATGTTTCTTTAACAAAAATTAGCTTTGTGTTTAAACAGAACAGCCTCATATGAAAATATTGTTGAAAGTAGCTTAACATGGATCCAAAAACGTCTAACAAAATACTGAAGGATTTTAGAAATAATATTGGAATTGGCCCAGTTTTAATCTAGTCTGACTTTTATTAACCTTTCTCTTCAGTAATGCATTCTGCTTTTTGATGAGGGGACAGAGAGCTCTATCCTAGAGTTCCAAGTTATAAATAACCAAAAGGAAATTTAGTAAGTATTCCTTTAGTAACAACTATAGTGTAAAACAAATTATAATTATCCTAGAAAATTATTTTCCTTTTAGTGCCTTGGAAGAAAAGTGTGAATGAAATTAATTACAAAATATAGGTGGATTACTGTGAGGGTTTGAGGCAATTGTTTGTCCAAAATGCTGGTTTATTTATTTGCACTTTTTAAAAAAAAAATCAGTAGATATTCAGGTTGTTCACAAGTTAAAACTTTTATTAAAATTTTATTTCACAAAGTTTTAACAAATGAATAAAACACTTTATTTTACTGACACCTTTCATACCATACCGTACTTTCATACATGTACTTGTTGTTATGGTTTTAAATATTCATTTGATCAGGAGAGTTCTTTTCTTTCAATGCTGAATTTCCTGAAAAACATAAATAGTAAACAAGACATGGCAGGGGGTTCTAGATTCTTCCAGATATTCTATTGTGCAATGCTCTTGTCTCAGATATAACATTTCATGTGGGGCAGAAGGATCCTGATGATTTTGCCTTTCACTTGTAAATCTCCTATGTATTCCTGCTGCTAATTTTATTTATTTTATTTCTGAGGAAAAAAACGAAGAAAAGCTAGAATGACAAAATGTACCTTGGTAGCATTCTTGGCTCTTGTTGTTTTCCTGTAGTGTATATCCGTGTCTTCCAAGAGACTCCCATTACTATTATGTCTAAGGGTTCAAGTTGTGCCTGGAAATGGATATCTTTATTTAAACTGTAAATCAGTTGAAAGAAATGTTTATTTTGGCAAATTCTGCAACATACTTAAGCAATCAGATGTCAAATTTTCAACCTTTATATATATATAGTAAGAATATAAAGTAGTATTCTCGGGAAATCTACTCAGTCATTTTAACAATGATGAAGTTAAAAAAGTAAATTTTCGTCAAGGCTTGTCATTGCCTTTATCATTTTCCCATTAATGCTTCATTTTGGGATACTACTTCTGGTAACTGGCTAATGTACAATATCACAAAGTTCAAGTAACCAATTACATTAAAACTATGGTTGAAATTATTTATATGTAAGAAACACAGAGAAACACATGGAATCCAGGAACTGCAACATGGGAATGGCATATGTAGCATTTGATTATCTTTTAGCTGAATTAATTATACTTAAAAACTCTAATTATTCTTCTAACCCTTCCTTTCTTCAATAATATTTTCTCCTAAAATGAAAAATTACTTATTTTCTTGCCAAGTTCTTATTTTATTCCACCAAAACTGCATAATGAATTTATATAAAATTTGCATAATGAATAATAGAAAGAAAGCTGCTTATTCTTAATGGATAGTTTGGAAATATTTAAAAATGCAGTAGGGATTTAATTGGAAAATGAGGTTTTTGTTTCCATGTGAATTTCAATTCATAACAGAAAATAATAGAAATATTTTAGAGATATTGTGAAAAGCCTTGCAAAATAACAATAATGGTTGTGTGAACTTAAATCTTCAGTTGTTGCTCATTTCTTTTAGCTACCATCACAGCCCAAAGAATACATGTTCTGCTTTGATTTTACTTCATTAATACTTGCCATCAGTAATGTTAATCAAATTTCAGTTGGCCATCTTTTAAAGAAATAAAGCCAGAAAATACTTGGTACAAATGGTTTACATTTTGCTTCTTTTTGTGTCTGCTGTGACAACTGCATTGTCAGTAGACTTATACTGACTTATTTCTAAGTCAATAAGTCAATAAGTTATACTGACTTATTTCTACCTGAAATATTGTAAATTGTGTCATCTGTTAGTGCATACACTGCTTGCTGTGTCAGACAATCTTTTGATTAATTTTATGTGCTAATGGATTCTACACTATTCTAAATATCTAGGATAGTTTATAATTGATATGTATGCATAAAATATCTGCAGTGCCTATTATGTTTCTAGTTTTCCTGATGTTTGTCACAGTGATCCGGAAAAATCACTGTTATTGTACTGATATATATAATACATTTATACAGCTATGAATCTTTTACTAAGTTTCAAAGTGGTCTTTCTTTTCTGTTCTCTGTACTTCTGAATTAATATTTACAATTCAGATTCAACATAGCAAAATTCTGTATTGAGTTGGAACTATACAACTGAAAATGCAGACTTATTTTAAAGTAGCCCTTTTCTTATCTGGAAGACCGTAAAATTAAAAAGAAATTTCATCAAATTAAGTATCCTTAGGTGTTTTTAGCGTGGTTTGAGCACGAAAAAAAAAGCTTAAGAGTAATGATTAAAATTAATCATATTTCAGCCTTAGATACTGAGCCTCTGTCTAAATAATGCTTAAATTTTTGTTAGCATGGACACACCAAAGGCAAGTTTTAAGATCAGTTCAATGAAGCTGTAAAGCCTTTTCTTATACTACCTCAGTAGTGCAGTGACTCTGTATTTAAAAATAGCATATCATCAGATGAGATTAACTTGTCCTTCTTGCAAAATACAATATGTTCTTCGATGTGCAGAGAATGGGGAATAAGGAAGTGTTCAAAAACAATAATTCATAACAGCACTTCTGGGATTGCATGGACCGCTCCTAAATTTACGAACATCTTATGTTCCTTTATGTACTCCAATTCCATAACTTAAAATATCTAACTAAAGAGAAAGCTCACTAGGCAAAACTCTCACTGATGTATTCTACAAATCTACACTTCTTTTGATCCTGAAGCTTAAAAGTTGGAAGCCAGGGGTAGATACCCCTATTTGATCCCTAGCTGTTAGATTGTTTTGATTTTTACGGGGGGTGTGTGTGTGAACAAAATGATACAATATGTGGGTTTCCTTGTTGGACAAAACGTAATCAGTGTCAGCTAAGGTTCCTTTCCATGTGCCAATGAGAAGTGTTTATACATGCTGTACCTTATATTGCTATACTTGGCATCCTTCCGCTCCCTCCCACACAGCCAAGTATACACATAGTTCAATCTTTCACAGATGCCGTGTTTTAGAAGTATAGTGTGGATTTTAAGGACATATGGAACATACTTAGTCTCTGTGAGATTTGATCACAACTCCTGTAGAACACCATGTTCAGCTAGGTGCAGAACTGTCCAAAATGTCTCTCTCTTCTCCCTTAACAACAAAACCTGTTAACTTTTGTTTATTGAAACCTAAGGGCAGAATTAATCTGAATCAAATGTTTCTAAGGAGCTGGTGGTACATATCCATTAATGATGAGAGGCAGTCCTTAAGGAGCATTTTTAATCTAGGAACAAAATATGAGGCACCTCACTTGAACTCCCAGAAAGGCTTCTTGTAAATGTGTGATGTAGGATGTAGTTTCAAGTCACATATGAAATGTATGTTTTGCAACGTGCAGCTACTAACCACAGAATTCAAATGTGTTATCTTTAATATATCCAATTACTATTTTGTGTGTCAGAATTTTTGCAAAATTCCATAAACTGTTAACACTGGGAAAAGTGATGTTAATTTTACTTAATTTTGTATTGTGCATTTCCAACATTATGTACACTCATCACTATCGAATAAAGTGTCAGCTGAAGCTAAACTGTATGAATCTTATTTAGAATAAGACTTGATGCAACTTATTTCTCATACATTTTGCTTCATTGATCCAAGTTAATTTTTTTTTACTGTACCATATTTTTAGAAATGAAACATTATGGCTACTGCTGCTGCTTTTAAAAGAAATGAATTTAGACAAAGGCTCTTCTGCATGGCAATTCTAAATTACTTATCTCACATGGTAAAATTGCTTGGAAATTAAGCTGGCTTAAGATGCTGCCATCCAGATTCAATCCATTTGTGAGCTTTGATCATTATGTTACTCAGGTGTTCTATCCATATAGTAGCTACTGTGGCCTTTGGGGAATTTCCTAAGCCATATCCTCCACCTCCTTCTCTGCTAAGAAAGCAAGTACTAGACCCTAAATAGGTTTGGAGACCATGGGTCCCCTGATAGACTTTTTGTATTTTTTTGTTGAGTGTCCATCAAATTTGACCCTCCCTGTCTAGCATAATCACCAGTGGACTGGTGGACAAAAACCCTTAGTTTTACTTGCATTTCATTAGGGGAAGCTTGTCAATTGCATCTGTTAATTCTGTCAATTGCATCTGACAGAAGGCCACCTGAAGAGACTAGAAGCATTTGAAATGTGGATTTACAGGCGGCTGTTACGTATAAGCTGGGTTGACAAGATCAGAAATGAGGTGATAAGCCGCCTGGGAAAGCCAAGGGAAATCATCAAAACAATTAAAATACAAAAATTAGAATATTTTGGACATGTGATGCGACGCCCAGAAAAATACGGCATACTCCATTTAATCCTCCAGGGAAAGATTGAAGGCAAATGAGGTCCAGACAGAAGAAGAACACCGTGGTTTCAAAATTTAAGGGGTTGGTTTGGACAAAACTCAGCAACACTTTTTCGTGCGGCTGCTGATAAAAATAGGATCGCCAACATGATCACCAACGTCCGATAATGGATATAGCACAAGAGGAAGAAGAAAAAAAACCCTCACCTCACCACTGTTTCACTGATTGTCTAATTAACCTTAAACAACCCAGTGATGATTCTCTTTAACCAGCTATCACTTATCCAGATGCTGGTTCACAAGGTGCCTATGCAGATAAGTACAAGTGAACTGATTTTTCTGAGCACTACGTATCAGAGTTATAAAAAGAACCTATGTAATGCCTGAAACTTGCTTCAAAACAGAGGATTTCAAGTTTTACATTGGCACATTGCTGTCATTTGATGTAGATATCTCCCAAAATGGCTGCTTAGTACTTAGAACCTCCCTCAAAATCAATTATGTGATGGGAAGCAGAAGCTGCTAATTTTCTGAACCACCCTAAAAAAGCCATTACTACCAAAGGGACACTGGCTATCTCAGGTATTTTTTTTATAACGGTCTTTTATGATTTTCTTAGTTACTGAATCCACTTATCAGCTTTAGATCCTTTTAGACTTGAGATCCACTTTCCTATCTCTTCCCTGAGATAGTGATTCTTCAGTGCCACAGAATTTTCCATAAATCTTCTGGGGACATCCTGCTATCATGGTAGGTGGATTCCTGCCTTCTGGTCTAAGGACACTTTCATTCTATTTTTACTTCCATCTAATAGCATTTCAGGAAGGATAAGACTGCCCATCTAATCTCATGATTAAAAGAATCAATGTCACTTAATAGTTCCAACTCCCAAACTATTTTAAATAATGCAAGTTAATATCAATAGCATATTAAGTATGCAACTTGTGGAAATTTCATAATGGTTTATTATCTCAAGGCATTCCTTACAAACTTCCTATCCAAATAGGAAATAGGAATTCCAATAGGAAATCAATATTCTCTATAACAAACATATTTTACTACAGCCATTGGCCAGTCTGCAAAAACAATAAAATTCATTATTTTTTCCACGTTGTCTGAGATAAGGGTAGTGACGACGGACTTTCCAAAGGTCATTTTTATAAATGCTGAAGATGAATTTCAAATCAGAAATTTATTGATGGGCCATTGATAAGTGATAAAAGTGTGAATGCACTTCATATACATGGCAGGTGGGAAACAAGCTGGACTGGAATCAAACTGGCAGGAATTTTTTTTCACGTAATTGATCAAACAAAAATTGATTCCAGCCCCTCTCCCTTCCCCAGACACATGAAACTCTCCAGATCAGGGGTCCCCAACCCCCGGTCCGTGGACCAGCACCGGGCTGTGGCATGTCAGAAACCGGTCCGTGCAAACAAGCAAAGCCCCATCCATGGGATGCAGGCAGTATATGAAACCACGCCCCCTTCGGTCCGCAGAAAAACCTCTCTCCATGGAACCGGTCTCTGGTGCTCAAAAGGTTGGGGACCTCTGCTCCAGGTAGAAACCTATTGGGACGAAGAACAAAACTACCGCTGCATGTAGAGCAAAAGGTTTAAACTCTCTTTCCGGAATATGTGGTTTTAAATCTGATCAGGCTCCATGGCTGCTGCTTCAAAGACTTATGAAATACCTTCAATCATATCTATTGCAATTTATGCTTTATTATACAGGTAGTCCTCAACTTACAACCACAACTGAACACAACATTGCTGTTGCTAAGCAAGGCAGTTAAGTGAGTTTTGCACCATTATACGACCTTTCTTGCCACAACAGTTAAGTGAATCACTGCAGTTGTTAAGTTAATAACACGGTTGTTAATTGAATCTGGCTTCCCCATTGACTTTGCTTGCCAGAAGGTCACAAAGGATGGTCACAAGACTTTGGGACGCTGCAACCGTCATAAATATGAGTCAGTTAGCAAGCGTGACCGTGGAGATGCTGCAACAGTTGTAAGTGTGAAAAACGGTCAGCGGTCACTTTTTTCAGTGCTGTTGTTGTAACTTTGAACGGTCACTAAACAAACTGTTATAAGTATACCTGTATATATGAACTAAATCATTATGAATTGTTCATCAAACTCAAGATTAAAACTAACACCATGATGAAATGTGTGAAGCAGGCATTGCTTCATTTGATCCTCCATCTCCAAACAATGAGGGCTAAACTATCATCTTGGAACCGAGAGATGTTTACTTATAATTTACTGTCATTGCTAACACAGAGATTTACTGCCTGCAGCCTTTATCGGTGCTTTTTAGACTTCTTATTTCAGTAGGGAAAGGTTGAATTAAAAGGACTTTATCAAAGATGCACAACATTTGAAGAACTTCACTACGGTTTCATTCTGGACCTTCCCGTTTAGTGCAATTTAGTTACTAATATTTTGTGATCCAAAAAAAGTTTAAAAACAACAAATTATAATCAATTAAATTCAGATTATGATGAGCTATTATTGCCTTTAAATTCAAGGAAGCTTTCTCTTTGAAGGTATATCAGCAATCACCAAGCCTTTTCCAATGCAAATGGAGCTTTTGAGAAACAAAGGGACTTAAAATGGAAAGAAAGATGGCTATTTGGGATTGTTGAGAAAAATTCTAAGGGTATGCATAAAAATAAACTTAAGGACATACTACACATATATAATGCATTTATTTACATAAGGATCTTTATTGCTACCTTTTAAAAATATGTTTTTGCAAGGTAGTTTATGGTCATATTCATAAAATATAGAGGTAGTCCTCAATTTTAATGGAGCCCATCTATACAACCATCACAATTTATGTCCATAATGGAGCCTGTCCATTATGATCATAAATTGTGATGGTTGCATAGAGGGTCACCCACATGGCTAATCCCATTTTGTGACTTGTTTTGCAACATAGGTAAATTATCGCAGTTGTTAACTGAATCCACGGGTTCTTTAACCCATTGGACTTGCTAGGGTGTCATTGCCAGAAATTAGAAGAAAACAATGGTTTCCGGCAAAAAGATCATAAATTGCAGTCATCTGACTGCAAGTCACTGCAAATAACTGTAAATGGCCACAAGAGAGACCCAGCTATCAGAACTTCAGAAGCCAGTCCTAAGTATCTTTTGGGCAATCCATCATAATTTCAAATGGTTACTAATTGACCAGTCGTAAGTCAAAGACTATATGTATCTAAATTGAAACATAGATGAATTTATTTCGTTTATGTTTTAAACTATCAAACTATTGCATTTTATGAGCATTTGCTTTTGCGTATGCAACTCGGTATTGATACACTTGGAGGAGAGACTTTGCATTTACTTAAGTATATATGCCCCTGCAACTTTAAAATCAAGTGCAGTAATATGTATATGTGGAGTGAAATCTCACAAAGTGCAGTGAAATTTACTTAACTTTGTTGTAGGAGCACAAAAAGAGCAGTATAAGTGCTGATAAAATATGAAAAATAACACAATATGTTTGAAAGATATGTTTGTGGTAACAATCTCTTGCCATCTAGTGATCACTGATGTAAATATTATTATTATTACAAAGCAATGCGAGTATAAAATATGGCTGGCATTTTTGCTGTGTTTTTTTGTGCCATATGCACTATTCCATATGCAAGGACAATATCAGTTTGGGATCATTTTGGCTAGTAATCTACAAGTATAATTGGTCTAGCTTTACTCCAGCATACTCATGCTTCTGTGGCAACCTAGAATCTCTTATCCAGGAACTACACGCTGTACTATTGTCTGAAATTCATCAATTAGGGAACGTGAGATGATACTGTATTAGTACAAATCCATTTATTTAAAGGTGGGCAAACAAGTTGACTTCTGTGAGCCTCATGAATCAAAAAACTGTTGATGAGCAATAGACAATTTTAAGATTTCCACCTTCTCTTCTTATGGCTCTTTAAGCTGGAATTGGGACTAACCAGTCAGTCCTTCAAAAACAGCACTTCTCCCTGTAAATTAGGACTTTTGATTTATACTGACACCTATAAAAGACAGCAAAGGCTAATTATTTTTTCAATGTGGAATCCAAGTAAGACATGCAAGTACAATTAAACCATCAAGCAACTATGTTTTTCTACATTGTTGAGGTTGGTAACCTACTCCATAGTTTCTCTAAATTAATCATGCTATTTCTTACTCACAATCTGAATTTTGTTTATTCCGGCAAGACAGCATGAT